AGCAAAAGTGACACTACTTTGAACAGATTTGGGAAATCAGGTTGTTCCGTAAATATGGCTTGTCATTTTTCTGTGCATTATTATTGATGTAAAAATACTCGAATTTCGAATAATCGCTTACAAAATTGCGATGTTTACTTAAGGCCTTAAATAAAGTATTTTTGCGTACTTTATGTGTCTTGTAAAGTATAATGTACGCACAATCGAAATAGAGTACAATACTTTATAATAAAGTACGGGTGGCAACCCTAAATACAGACCACTTCGTATTATTTTATTCGATTATGGTAACGTGTCTATCACGTTGAGGTTAGCTACGTCGCGATTCGTTTCAGCAAGTAGATATCCATATTTTTAAATGGACCTTGCTGGAGCATACGTAATCCTAAAATGTAGCATCGTACTACAGATGGCGTTTACCGCGCCATTTGTGGTATTTTCTTCAATTACTGGTAACGCTGGTAAACACAGTGCAGAAATGAAGATATACTTATTGGGTCTGTATAAATAAAAAATTTTTTTATCTTATCACAAGGAATGAATTGCCTTTATTACTATATCTAATCATACATTCAATGATATGATAAGATGCTTTGAAACGTTATCGATGTTTTCAACTAATTAGTAGTAGGTGAGCAAATATTTGCACAGTTCCTCTATTCTTTCGATAGCAGTGAAAGATGTAGTTTGGTTCCTGTTCAAAAAATGTATTGTTTTATTAATAGTAGCCCTTCAAAACAGTGGACGTTATCTAAACCTTCTCAAGAAAATGGTACAGAAAGTGTCTACGGCCAGTATGTAAAATTTACACAAGATTCCTTACCCACTGCACATTCAAGTACGATTGATTCGAATTCTGTTGTTAGTTCAGACGTTCAGAAAAGGAGATCTGATGTTTGTGCTCAAATTATCGACATTGACAACCAAAATTTCACATTCGAAGGAATTCCGAAACATAAAAAAGCTGAAGAAATTCACAAGCTTATCAGGTCTGCAATTGCAAATAATGGCTTTCTTCCAAATCTGCTAGACGAAGAAAAATTTCATTTGATGGTTGACGCGATGTATCCAAAAGAAGTAACATCGAACGAAATAATAATCAGAGAAGGTACAGAAGGTTATCATATGTACGTGTCTGAATTCGGTACGTACGAAATATCAATAAAAGGCGAATATGTCGAGACCTTCAACGATAGTAGGGTGTTCGGTGAGCTAGCAATATTGAGTAATGCGAAACGACAAGCGACAATCCGAACTCTGAAAGAGGGAAAACTGTGGGTCTTGGACAATGAGATTTACCAAAGAATCATGGTACAAAGTGCCATCCAAAAACGAAACGAATTGGTTCAATTTTTAAGAAATGTACCTAAATTAAATAAAAAAAGCGATGAGATATTGGGGCTTGTGTCAGACCTTCTTAAAAACGAATTCTTCTATACCGGAATGGAGATCATACGTGAAGGTTATAAGGGCGATAAATTCTACATAATCCGATCAGGTACGGTCTCAGTTACAAAGCGTAAGGAAGGCAAAGTGGCGACCCTCACCATAGGACAATACTTTGGAGAACAAGCGCTTTTAAAAGAAGACTGCAGACAAGCAACGGTTACCGCTGAGGCTCCAGGGGTTGAATGTCTGACATTGACTAGGTCACACTTTGTAGATTATTTCGGCGACATGGATCTGGACAGTATAGCGATGACTACTAGGAAACAAGTAATCGTACCGAAACTGAAACACGAATATAAAGATATAACCCCCAAAGACTTGATTTCTATCGGAATATTGGGAGTGGGCGGTTTCGGCTGGGTCGAACTAGTCCAACACAGAAAAAAGAAACAACTCACATTCGCCCTGAAGTATTTGAAAAAGTACGAAATAGTGCAACGGCGACAACAACAACACACGTTAAACGAAAAAAGCATTCAAATAAGTTGCGAATGCCCGTTCATAGTGCGTTTGTATACTACTTTTAAAAACGATAAATATCTCTATTTCTTGATGGAGTCTTGTCTAGGAGGAGACCTATGCTCTTTACTGCAGAAACAAAGAACTCGACGCTTCGATGAATCTGTGGCGCGCTTCTACACTGGCTGCGCCTTAGAAGCATTGGCGTATCTTCACGAACGTGGCATCGTCTATCGAGATTTGAAACCAGAAAATCTTCTTTTAGATAATCGTGGTTATCTAAAACTAACCGATTTCGGTTTAGCGAAAGTTCTCCCTTTACAAGGAAAAACATACACTTTTGGGGGAACCCCAGAGTATATGTCACCGGAAATTATTTTACTTCAAGGGCATGATAAGGCAACAGATTATTGGTCATTTGGAATCTTAATTTACGAGTTGCTAGTGGGAAAAACACCTTTTAGAAGTAACGATAGCAGTCATATGACAACATACAATCTCATTTTGTGCGGATTCAAAAACATTAGATTTCCTAATGTATTATCAAAACCTGCACAAAATTTGATAATGAAATTGTGCAAATTGAAGGCCTCTAAAAGACTGGGTTGTCAGAAAGATGGGGCGGAAGATGTGAAAAGTCACAAATGGTACGAAGGATTTGACTGGAAAAAATTAAGAAATCGTGCCATCAAGCCTCCCATAGCAAGAAATCTGCGAAGCAACATCGATACTAAATATGTTGATAAATGTGAAATAAATTTGGATATTCCACCTGATGACCATTCCTCTGACTTTGACGATTTTTGATCTACATTCATGTTACAGTTAATCGTAAATGTGATGACTATAATCAGGCAGTAGAGAGAGAGAGAGAGACGGTGCTCCATGACAAAATTCCTTATTCAATCATATTTTATCTTATTCAAACCATTTCTGTCTTGCTCACGCCTGGTGTGTATTCCTTCTGTCCGTATAGCTTTCGTCAAGGTCACATCTCTAACCGTTTGAGATGAGGTGTATGCACGTTAATTTTATGGTCGCAGCGCCAAGAGTACGCTACGATTTTACCTCCTTTCGGCGCGACCCTACGAACATCCAAGAAGATTGTAGCGGCGCTTAAAGCTCGGCGCCAAGAGCCATTTGTCGATTTTATATGATTGTAAATATACTAGTAAACACAATACTATAATACATACTCATATCATTCATAATGTAGATCCATACAAACTTGTTAGTACATAAAAGCAACTGCCTCTCTGTAATCTATTTTATTATAAGAAGAAAAATATGCGAATGCTTACAATCAAATTAAACCAACAAAAGAAAAATAAAAGAATAAAAAATAAAAGTTATAAAACTCATAGTGTTGATACTTTGTTTACAAAAGCTGTGATGTTGCTTTATTTTACAATAAATATTTATTTATATACTTATTTGGATTAATTCATAATATTGTTGCACCTGTATATTTTAAATAATATTTTACAAGCATACAATTGAAACTTCTGTTGCAGTTCATTTAGGATTTTACATATTTTAAAGAGGCTTTTTACTATCGATCCAGTCACAGTTATATGGCAATATTTACACTATACGCACAATATGAAGATTCTATACAGTAGGTTCACTTCCCAACCACGCCCATACTTCCCTCTCCTAACGACGTTTCAGCACTTCATCCACCAGTTCCCCGCTAACATAGAGTGTCATCGTGAAGTTACAGTACATATAGTACATTACAATACATTTTGTATTTAAATACTTCGGTAAAGATGAGGTGGGTAGTGATGCAACGGAAGTGTCATAACAGAAACAGAAACGGAAACAGAGGTAAATAGTTAATTTTTGCGGAAGCGGAAGTACGCTCTTAAACCAAATAAAATTATAGCTACCGTAAAAATTATCTAAAAATATTTTTTTCATAGTTATATAATGTAATAATGACGTATTAAAGGAGCCAATGAGAGGAGAATAAAATTTGATAAATATCAGCATACGAAGTACTACGAAATAGATTTAAGTCTACTGGAGAAACCTACCATTAAAAAAGCAATGCTCCGTGTAGTCAGGGGTGCATTATATATAGGGCGGTACATTACAACATTAAATTGTATTTAAAAGCGTTCATTTTTCTCTAAACTCAAAATTTGCCGGCTACAACGCTGTATATTGTCACTAATAATATAAGCGGTTGATAATACGCTCACAATGTTACAGCGAGGTCGCTAAAAGCTGGCACAGGTACCACTTACCTACAAGCGATTCCGTTTAAATTGTGTTTTGAAAACGATCAGGTTTAGTCAACGGATAAAGTAATAAATTTTTACGACTTCTTTTATTGTTTCTGTACATTGTTTTCCAGAAAGATAAGAAACTCCGATCTGTATTAAATCTATCTAACCAAGCAATGACGTCATCTCCAAGCAGTCTGCCGTATTATTGCCTATTTTATATGTCATAGGCCACCGCATACTGTTTTTCAACATTCGTTAACTATGCTTCATTATCATTTCCGCGCCCAACATATATATATCAATATATATATATATACAGGATTTGTCCGAAAAGTAATAGGACTGATTTCCTTTCGTCGGAGCGTGCGCGCACCGACTGGATTCGGTAGAGGGCATTCCTAGCTAACGAACGAGCGGCTGGTGAGTTGTCTCCAAGCCCATGGAGAATCAGAACAGGCTTTTTCGCGCAACGTGTTCTGTGAGTGGTGCAAGCCGAAAATGCAGCGTTCGTTAGAGCAGAGGTACGCGATTAAACTCTGTGTGAAACTCGGTAAATCTGCGACAGAGACGTTTGATATGATCAAGCAGGCTTACCCAGTTGTTGCTTTAGCAAGAAGTGGTGTGTTTCGGTGGCACCAGGCCTTTTCAGAGGGCCGGGAAGAGGTCACCGATGAAGACCGTGCTGGAAGACCTTCGACTTCGACAAACACCGACAATGTGACTCGTGTGCGCGAAGTTTTGAACTCAGACCGTCGACTAAGTATTCGTTTAATTTCCCAGATTTTAAATTTACCAAAATCTGTGGTTCATGACATTGTGACGGAGCATTTTAACATGCACAAGGTGTGCGCGAAAATGATCCCAAAAGTGCTCACTGACGACCAGAAATTGCGGCGAGTGGAAGTGTGCCAAGAAAATTTAAACATGTGTGAAAGTGACCCCCAATTCTTGAATCATGGATCTTTGAGTATGATCCCGAGACAAAGAGGCAATCTTCCGAGTGGCACACGCCGGCGTCTCCTCGCCCAAAAAAGGGAAGAATGAGCAAATCAAAAAGTGAAAACGATGCTCATTGTCTTTTTTGACATGAAAGGCATCGTCCACCATGAATTTGTTCCTCCTGGACAAACCGTCAACGCCAAGTTTTACGTGGAAGTGCTCAAGAGACTCAAACGAAGGGTCAATCGGGTCCGACAAGACATCGCAGCCGACTGGAAGTTGCACCACGACAACGCCC